AGATGGTGAAGATCTACCCAAAGGACCACCTCCTTTAGGTGGAGATTAGGTAAGTGTTGACTGGAAAATAAATTTTCCTTTTCTTCCATAATGCCATGATTCCACGAAATGTAATGCATCTGTAAACAATTTATAGTCTACCCTCTCTTTAAGAAGTTGGAAAAGTGACATCATGGCCTCCTTGAAACACAATTTCACTTTTAAACTCTGTGCAATGAAGTTTTGTTAGGTTAGCTCATTGTATAATGCTTTACCTTGATTTAAATAAAATACCTTTTTTTTCAAATTGACAATTACATACGTTTAGTTTTTATACAATAGATGATGAAGATCTATCTGAAGGACCACCCCCTGCAGGCAGTGATCTAGGTAAGTGTCAACGGTAATATTTTCTTTTCTTATATAATGCTATGATTCCACAAAATGCTATGCACCTGTAAACAGGAATAGTCTTTCCACTCTGTAGGAAGTTGGAGAAGTGACACCATAGCCTCCTTGAAATACAACTTTCCTGTTAAAGTCTAAGCAATAAGAAATGATGTCTGGTTAGCAAACTGTTTTTCCTTTGACCATTTCCAGTAAAGTAGAAGTTCATAATTTTGCAATGTTACCATCACTTGGTTCAATATTGTCACTTCAGAGAAACCTTTTCTAATACAGTTATAGAACTTGTGCAGTATTTTTAATAAACTTGTTCAAACCAAGTATTGTTTTTTTCATAAAATAGATGGGGACAAGAAAAATAATAAAAAAGAGAAGGGGAAGAAGAAGTGGAATGGTGAAGTAAAGTAAACAGTAACCTAACAACAACTGACATTACAATAAACTGGGCTAACATTTGTTTTAGATGCCATTTTCCACAGTATTTAGAAAATCTTTTATTTATCATGCTCATGCGAAAAGAAGTTAAATTTTAGAAACAGTATGGGGCCCAAGAAATATTTTTCAATCTGTAACAAACAGAGATTATTCGATGGAAAGTGTGCACAAATGAGATTTATTGCATCAAGCAAAAATTAACATGTGAGTCTAGTGAACTAGTGAATTTTTTTGATCAACGCAACAAGTGGATAAAAATTGTTCAAGCATTTTCCATGGTATGATGCTTCCATTTCATACACACCAAAATTTTTTCTTACTGTCCAACAAAGATTGGAAGCTAACAACTGTGAAAATACATTGTTTGTTTCATTAGAGCCACAAATGATACTACTAAACAGTGTAAATCCTTATTTGTATTAAAATAAATTCCATTTCTTAACAATTCTCAAATAGAAGATTAAATAATTTTTCAAAGATTTAAAGGTGAGAAGGAAAAAAAGGTGATACTATATGATTATTTTTGACTGTTGACAAAGAAATTAAAATTTAATACAGATCAAATAAAAAACCCTTTGAAGATCCATTGCAACAGTTTCCAGCACATACACATATACAAAGACTGTTTTATTTCCAATCCAACAAAAGCTGCCATAAGCAGGCATTGAAAGATAAAAATCTATGTTAATACAAATAGGGATTTTAGGGCAAAAGGGTAATTTATTTAGATCTTATGAGTATAGTTGTCAGTTGGATAACATCTCCTTGCAAGTGCATTGCCTTACCTCAACTTTTCATTTTTTTTTTCTATCAAAGAAATAAAAAATGTTTCATTTTAGGAGGGAGAGGCCACTCCTACACGGTGGATGTGGTGACCATGCCCACCACGCAACCATATTTAAAATATAAAATATGAATCAAAATGAAATCAACTGTCTCTCATTCATTTTAGAAATGTAAATTTGCAGCAGATTAATTCAGCCATAACTGCAAATGATAACTTCTTACCAAGCCTGAGGGCCATACAAGAGGACATTTTCCTGAGTTCCTCACAAAAACAACGGATGGCCAATATTCCTCGGTAGAATTTGAGCAAGAAAAGTTAGCAAGTGATTCATCACATTGCAACTGGACTAAACTTTTTAGTTTTAAATTTGGTGCCTTTCAAAACAAAAATATGTGGATAATGATCGTTTCACAGGAAACGGTCTGCATGGAAAAGTGCAGAACAAGTAAGAACCAGATCAGTGCTGGTAATTACCTCCATACTACTGTAGTTATTCGGTTATAAGGCGCACTCGGCTATAAGACGCACCCCCAATTTGGCAATTTCATTATTGCATGTTTTCAAACTGAAAATATCGCTAAAATACTTGGTTATAAGGCGCATCGTTGTTTGGGGAGTAAAGATCGGTCAAGTTTATTGTAAATTCTTTCATAAACTTACAAAAAAGCGAAAAAGTCGCGTATTGATTTTAGTTTACCGTTAATTAACAAAAGCAGAATTGTCGCACACGCGACCACGCGCACAAACAAAAGCCTTGATTAAACAAAAGCAAAATGTCACACACATAAACAAAAGCCGAAAAATGTCACACATTTAATCACAGTGATAAACAAAAGGAAAAAAAGGTCACACATTTAATGACAACCTATCGGTACACATTAATTGTTAGCCTTCCCTCTCGGGAAACATGGTTTTAAAGTATAAAAACAATTCGATCAACAAGTTCAGTAGTCGCAAATTTACTTCATCTGGTGAACATTATCTTGCGAAGTCTACATTCAGCACAATCATGCCAAACACTCGCCATCATTCTTACGATCTCAAATTTAAGTTGAAAAACGTAATTGAAGCTGAAGCTGTTAACAACAATCGAGAGATAGCAAGGGAATACGGAATTTCTGAATCAATGGTTTGGAAGTGGCGCAATAGTAGGACATCTTGTATCACCTTGTCAAGCGCGCTTCCATGGGCCGTTACCGACCAAAAGATCCCGAACTTCATCAACCGTAGGCCGACTGGTTCAGTGATCAAAGGAGCCAAGGTAAGCAATTGCCTTCTTATCTAATACATTAAAGTTCACACGGCAACCTGGACAATCAGACATAGTTTGATGCTACTCTGGTTTGCAGATTTATTGAATGTAACCGAAGTTACAATTCATAGACCAAACGTTTTTCTGACGGGGTGTAAATAAGCGTCAGGATGCAAACCGCCATCGTCACGATCTAAACCTCCTCCCAAAAACATGACAAGAGTACGTATGCTGTCTTAAATTCTGATTCTACCAGTAAAACCTCAATCAACATGTTGCTTGATTTGCAAAAAGCTGGTAAAATTAGTGACTCTACGTACAAAATGTTAGACAGTAGAGACGGCTTATGTCCAGGTTTTTATGGCTTACCTAAAATTCATAAACCGGGAATTCCTTTGAGACCAATTGTCACTTTTGTTAATTCTCCGACTTATGCAATTTCTGGTTATCTTGCGAGAATTTTGTCGCCTGTTGTTGGGAATACTGATTACACTGTCAAAAATTCCTGCGAATTTGCGGATTTCATAAAAGATAAAACTCTTAACGCTTGTGAAGAATTAGTATCTTTCGACGTTGTTTCGCTCTTCACTAAAATCCAAATGGGCAAATGGCTATACAAAAACTTTTCTCCGTAACTGCCAAAAACCAGTTACAAATAGTAACGCTCTTGATGAAAGGGAACCAGCGACTGGTTTTGCTGTTATTCCTTACATACAGGGTGTTACGAATCAACTTATTCTACAACAGATGAACTTTTTATTCCAAGACAGGATTACTTCCATATTTCAGAGATCTAACTCATAGCCAATTGGCAGAGATTTTTCTGCATTTAAGAGTCGCCAAGCTTCGCGCAGGGTGCATAGCACAAGTGGCAAGTGACCAGTTAAAAATTGAAGTATCGACATGCCTGCATGACACTCCCGCCATCTGCAAGCGATTTTAAACTTCTGTCTCCAAAGATCAGTTCTGGCCAGGATATACTTTTTGGCGATGTGATTTTGAATGTGACATTTCCACATCAGCGTGTTCTTGAGCTTTTGTAAAGTCGGAAGTGATCCTTCTCTACTGGAGCAGATAACTTCCGACACGTATTTCTCCAGAAGTTCGTCAGGTATCCTCTTTCCCCTCTTTTAGTCGTATTTTTAAGCTCCGTACGTTTTTTTTAAATGTGAAGTGCTTCGGACTTATTTTTAGGATGCGCAACGCTTCTCCTTTTGCGAATCCTATCTTAACGCCACTTAAAAAGTGTTTACGTGCCGGCACGACTCCTGCTTGGCGTTGAGCTAGTATAAACGAATCTCTCCGCAGTTACCCGTATATTAACAAGAACAAATATGGAAGGTATTCTTAATAACTAAACCTTACAAAAGGCTTGAAAACACAAAAATTAAACCAGATTTTAGTGATTTGTTTAATACTTAAACTACTGTCTTAACTTTACTGAATTCGTTTTACTCAAAAGCCTTACGTAGGTCAACATTGTTTCGTGCTTATTATATCAGAATGTAATTTTTGCGTGAAAAACATAAAAAATGGTGAGTACATAACCAGTACCGCCTCCTGAGAATATCAGAAAAGAAAGCACCAAAAATTGGAATAAATCTCCCCTAACCTGGGATAGCTCTTTTTTTTAATGTCGATGAAATACCGGATAGAGTATTTCTCTACTTATTTCTATTTAATTTATCCATCTAAAAGTCTTTTAACTCTGTTCCCTTCGAGTACTTGTCATTATTTACTCTATCCGGGTCTTTTTTCCTGCAAGAAAGAAATTGAAATAACCCAATTTATTATTACCTCAATTAATATTTTGGATATAAAGCAAACACAATTACACCAAGCACGATATATAAAAATAATTGGCTATTACTTGTATCTCATTGGTAGAGAGGCATCTGTGAGATTCTATATTTTACACCAGAGAGCGGAGATAGTAACTCTTCAAAAAGGAAAAAAAAGTGTGCGAAAATATATTTATATTTATATTTATGTACATATATAGATAGATATTAAACTAGCCTTGATGTTCAAGGTAACAGAGGATCTCCATCCGGTCAACGACCAGTAAGTCATAACCATCCTCACATCTAATTTAACTTTAATTTATGAAATACCTGTTCTCACCGAGTCTTGCCGCTGGTTGTCAAACTCGAGTCTCACATCATCTCCAATCAGCGTAAACGAAGCCCACTCAGAGATTTTGTTCAAGGGGTTTTTTCTCATCCACTTCATGGCCTGATGAAGGGATTCACTGGCACTTCCACCTTCAATGAGGTGTTCGTAGAACCGACTCATCAGCTGCTCTGTTGCTGAGTCTGGAATGGCCCACAGCGCAACCAACACCGAGCGAGCACCGGATCCTAAGAACGCACGGGCAATTCCTATAACTCCCTCGGCTCTTATCTCTTCACTTCCACTGTGACAGCAGCTAAGTACCACCAGTTTGGCTCTGACTTTCACTCGTGAGATATCAGCCATCGTCAACAGGTAAGCTTCCTTCGGTGGGAAAGCGTTTTGACTGTTGGGAGTAGGAATGGGGGAGAGTGCAATTTCCCCTCTTTCTGCGTTACCATGGGCAGCGAAATGTATTAAGCTCACTGAACTTATCCGCTCGAGTACCGCCTGCTTCGTTGCTTTCTCTTCAACTAGAGGCGGAACACCCACCAGTCGTCCGACCATCTCCGCTTCCTTTCTTGCAGCTGGCAATGGTTGCAGCCAATTAACCTTGGGATTGCCTATTACCAAGGCACCAGTGTTGCTGTGATAGTCCTCTGGACTATCTTGAATGTTCTTGAGTGTTGTCAACGAAGGAATGATACGGATCTTATGAGTCTCTGACAAGTATTCGGCTCCCTCCTTTTCACTCAGGGCAGCGAAGGGAACTTTGTACAACCTGCGGTCAGGAACAATAATTACTTCAGGCTCATCAAGCAAATCATAAACGGGGGCAATGAACATTTTGTAACACAAATATAGACTTGAAATCACTTTCTCGTCCTCGTCCTCGTCCTCCTCCACGAGTCGCAATCTTGCTGAGCTCTTTTGCGCGGGGGAGAGAGGTTGCAATTTAATCGTATTTAAAGACCGATCTTCACAATCTTTAGTGGGCAAAATACCAAGACTCCGGAAATTATAATCCAAAAATTGACTCAAAGACAAATCTTTGGGTAACCCAGCCTGAACTAGATTCTCTTCTGGTGATATTCCTCTATAGTGAAAGATTCCACTTGTTTTCAAGATCCACAAATGCAGACAATTCTGAAAATAAGAAATGTACAGACAAGTACAGTTTCTTTTCTTTCTTAAAATGTCCTCAATGCCAAACCAAGATTGTGGATTAGCAGAGATGTGCGTTTCAACCGAGTACTTCTCTGCCATTAAGTCTGATAGACCTCTAGCTCGACCCAACTCCTCAACATAAAGAGCATCCCGAGCATTTCCGGTGACACAAAGCAAAGTACAAAGCAGCTTGTAGGGAAATATTCCTGTGTCCTCCAGAAATGATGTTTTGAACTGATCATTGGCGCCCATGAAATATCTCAGCTCCTCATACTTTTCAATGCACAGATGAAGACACGACAGGGAGTCTTTGATTTTATATTGATATAAATACAAAACGGCGTAACCTTCAAGGATTTCAAACTCTTTTCTTCCATCTCCAATATCTCTGGATATGAATAAAGCTTTCTCCAAGCATACTTCCGAAGCTTCAAAATCACCACCAGTGCTAAACAAAATTCCAAGGGTTCCAAGAACTGTTGCTTCCCCTTCCTTAGCACCGATTTCAGTTGTGATGACAAGCGCTTTTTGGAGATACTCTTTAGCCTTGTCGTATTGGCCAAGCGACTTAAACACAGCACCTAGGCTTCCATAACATGATGCTTCCCCTCGTCTGTCGCCAATTTCATTTCTGATGACAAGTGCTCTTTGTAGATACTCTTCAGCCTTGTCGTATTGGTCAAGCGATGTAAACACAGCACCTAGGCTTCCATAACATGATGCTTCCCCTTGTCTGTCGCCAATTTCAGTTCTGATGACAAGCGCTTTTTGGTGATACTCTTCAGCCTTGTCGTATTGGCCAAGCGACGTAAACACAGTACCTAGGTTTCCATAACATGATGCTTCCCCTCCTCTGTCGCCAATTTCAGTTGTGATGAGAAGCGCTTTTTGGAGATACTCTTCAGCCTTGTCGTATTGGCCAAGCGACGTAAACACAGTACCTAGGTTTCCATAACATGATGCTTCCCCTCGTCTGTCGCCAATTTCAGTTCTGATGACAAGCGCTTTTTGGTGATACTCTTCAGCCTTGTCGTATTGGCCAAGCGACGTAAACACAGTACCTAGGTTTCCATAACATGATGCTTCCCCTCCTCTGTCGCCAATTTCAGTTGTGATGACAAGCGCTTTTCGGAGATACTCTTCAGCCTTGTCGTATTGGCCAAGCGACGTAAACACAGTACCTAAGTTTCCATAACATGATGCTTCCCCTCGTCTGTCGCCAATTTCAGTTCTGATGACAAGCGCTTTTTGGAGATACTCTTCAGCCTTGTCGTATTGGCCAAGCGACGTAAACACAGTACCAAGGTTTCCGTAGTCAGTTGCCTCCCCTTGTCTGTCGCCAATTTCAGTTCTGATGACAAGCGCTTTTTGGAGATACTCTTCAGCCTTGTCGTATTGGCCAAGCGACGTAAACACAGTACCAAGGTTTCCGTAGTCAGTTGCCTCCCCTTCTCTGTCGCCAATTTCAATTCTGATGACAAGTGCTTTTTGGAGATACTCTTCAGCCTTGTCGTATTGCCCAAGCGACGTAAACACAGTACCTAAGTTTCCATAACATGATGCTTCCCCTCCTCTGTCGCCAATTTCAATTCTGATGACAAGCGCTATTTGGAGATACTCTTCGGCCTTGTCATACTGGCCAAGCGACGTAAACACAGTACCTAGGTTTCCATAACATGATGCTTCCCCTCCTCTGTCGCCAATTTCAGTTGTGATGACAAGCGCTTTTTGGAGATACTCTTCAGCCTTGTCGTATTGGCCAAGCGACGTAAACACAGTACCTAGGTTTCCATAACATGATGCTTCCCCTCTTCTGTCGCCAATTTCAGTTGTGATGACAAGCACTTTTTGGAGATACTCTTCAGCCTTGTCGTATTGGCCAAGCGACGTACACACAGTACCTAGGTTTCCATAACATGATGCTTCCCCTCCTCTGTCGCCAATTTCAGTTGTGATAACAAGCGCTTTTTGGAGATACTCTTCAGCCTTGTCGTATTGGCCAAGCGACTTAAATACAGTACCTAGGTTTCCGTAGTCAGTTGCCTCCCCTTTTCTGTCGCCAATTTCAGTTCTGATGACAAGCGCTTTTTGGAGATACTCTTCAGCCTTGTCGTATTGGCCAAGCGACTTAAACACAGTACCAAGGTTTCCGTAGTCAGTTGCCTCCCCTTGTCTGTCGCCAATTTCAGTTCTGATGACAAGCGCTTTTTGGAGATACTCTTCAGCCTTGTCGTATTGGCCAAGCGACGTAAACACAGTACCAAGGTTTCCGTAGTCAGTTGCCTCCCCTTCTCTGTCGCCAATTTCAGCTGTGATGACAAGCGCTTTTTGGAGATACTCTTCAGCCTTGTCGTATTGGCCAAGCGACGTAAACACAGTACCAAGGTTTCCGTAGTCAGTTGCCTCCCCTTCTCTGTCGCCAATTTCAGTTCTGATGACAAGCGCTTTTTGGAGATACTCTTCAGCCTTGTCGTATTGGCCAAGCGACGTAAACGCAGTACCAAGGTTTCCATAACATGATGCTTCCCCTCCTCTGTCGCCAATTTCAGTTCTCATGACAAGCGCTTTTTGGAGATACTCTTCAGCCTTGTCGTATTGTCCAAGCGACGTAAACACAGTACCTAGGTTTCCATAACATGATGCTTCCCCTCCTCTGTCGCCAATTTCAGTTGTGATGACAAGCGCTTTTTGGAGATACTCTTCAGCCTTGTCGTATTGGCCAAGCGACGTAAACACAGTACCTAGGTTTCCATAACATGATGCTTCCCCTCCTCTGTCGCCAATTTCAGTTGTGATGACAAGCGCTTTTTGGAGATACTCTTCAGCCTTGTCGTATTGGCCAAGCGACGTAAACACAGTACCAAGGTTTCCGTAGTCAGTTGCCTCCCCTTCTCTGTCGCCAATTTCAGTTCTGATGACAAGCGCTTTTTGGAGATACTCTTCAGCCTTGTCGTATTGGCCAAGCGACGTAAACACAGTACCTAGGTTTCCGTAGTCAGTTGCCTCCCCTTCTCTGTCGCCAATTTCAGTTCTGATGACAAGCGCTTTTTGGAGATACTCTTCAGCCTTGTCGTATTGGCCAAGCGACGTAAACACAGTAGCAAGGTTTCCATAACATGATGCTTCCCCTCCTCTGTCGCCAATTTCAGTTGTGATGACAAGCGCTTTTTGGAGATACTCTTCAGCCTTGTCGTATTGGCCAAGCGACGTAAACATAGTACCTAGGTTTCCATAACATGATACTTCCCCTCCTCTGTCGCCAATTTCAGTTGTGATGAGAAGCGCTTTTTGGAGATACTCTTCAGCCTTGTCGTATTGGCCAAGGGACTTAAACACAGTACCTAGGTTTCCATAACATGATGCTTCCCCTCCTCTGTCGCCAATTTCAGTTGTGATGACAAGCGCTTTTTGGAGATACTCTTCAGCCTTGTCGTATTGGTCAAGCGACGTAAACATAGTACCTAGGTTTCCATAACATGATACTTCCCCTCCTCTGTCGCCAATTTCAGTTCTGATGACAAGCGCTTTTTGGAGATACTCTTCAGCCTTGTCGTATTGGCCAAGGGACTTAAACACAGTACCTAGGTTTCCATAACATGATGCTTCCCCTCCTCTGTCGCCAATTTCAGTTGTGAAGACAAGCGCTTTTTGGAGATACTCTTCAGCCTTGTCGTATTGGCCAAGCGACTTAAACACAGTACCTAGGTTTCCGTAGTCAGTTGCCTCCCCTTCTCTTTCGCCAATTTCAGTTGTGATGACAAACGCTTTTTGGACATACTCTTCAGCCTTCTCGTATTGGCCAAGCGACTTAAACACAGTACCAAGGTTTCCGTAGTCAGTTGCCTCCCCTTCTCTGTCGCCAATTTCAGTTCTGATGACAAGCGCTTTTTGGAGATACTCTTCAGCCTTGTCGTATTGGCCAAGCGACGTAAACACAGTACCAAGGTTTCCGTAGTCAGTTGCCTCCCCTTGTCTGTCGCCAATTTCAGTTCTGATGACAAGCGCTTTTTGGAGATACTCTTCAGCCTTGTCGTATTGGCCAAGCGACGTAAACACAGTACCTAGGTTTCCATAACATGATGCTTCCCCTCCTCTGTCGCCAATTTCAGTTCTGATGACTAGCGCTTTTTGGAGATACTCTTCAGCCTTGTCGTATTGGCCAAGTGACGTAAACACAGTACCTAGGTTTCCATAACATGATGCTTCCCCTCCTCTGTCGCCAATTTCAGTTCTGATGACAAGCGCATTTTGGAGATACTCTTCAGCCTTGTCGTATTGGTCAAGCGACGTAAACACAGTACCTAGGTTTCCATAACATGATGCTTCCCCTCCTCTGTCGCCAATTTCAGTTGTGATGACAAGCGCTTTTCGGAGATACTCTTCAGCCTTGTCGTATTGGCCAAACGACTTAAACACAGTACCTAGGTTTCCATAACATGATGCTTCCCCTCGTTTGTTGCCAATTTCAGTTGTGATGAGAAGCGCTTTTGAAGATACTCTTCAGCCTTGTCGTATTGGCCAAGCGACGTAAACACAGTACCAAGGTTTCCGTAGTCAGTTGCCTCCCCTTCTCTGTCGCCAATTTCAGTTCTGATGACAAGCGCTTTTTGAGATACTCTTTAGCCTTGTCGTATTGGCCAAGCGACGTAAACACAGTACCAAGGTTTCCGTAGTCAGTTGCCTCCCCTTCTCTGTCGCCAATTTCAGTTCTGATGACAAGCGCTTTTGGAGATACTCTTCAGCCTTGTCGTATTGGCCAAGCGACGTAAACACAGTACCTAGGTTTCCATAACATGATGCTTTCCCTCCTCTGTCGCCAATTTCAGTTCTGATGACAAGAGCTTTTTGGAGATACTCTTCAGCCTTGTCGTATTGGCCAAGCGACGTAAACACGGTACCTAGGTTTCCATAACATGATGCTTCCCCTCCTCTGTCGCCAATTTCAGTTCTGATGACTAGCGCTTTTTGGAGATACTCTTCAGCCTTGTCGTATTGGCCAAGTGACGTAAACACAGTACCTAGGTTTCCATAACATGATGCTTCCCCTCCTCTGTCGCCAATTTCAGTTCTGATGACAAGCGCATTTTGGAGATACTCTTCAGCCTTGTCGTATTGGTCAAGCGACGTAAACACAGTACCTAGGTTTCCATAACATGATGCTTCCCCTCCTCTGTCGCCAATTTCAGTTGTGATGACAAGCGCTTTTCGGAGATACTCTTCAGCCTTGTCGTATTGGCCAAACGACTTAAACACAGTACCTAGGTTTCCATAACATGATGCTTCCCCTCGTTTGTTGCCAATTTCAGTTGTGATGAGAAGCGCTTTTTGAAGATACTCTTCAGCCTTGTCGTATTGGCCAAGCGACGTAAACACAGTACCAAGGTTTCCGTAGTCAGTTGCCTCCCCTTCTCTGTCGCCAATTTCAGTTCTGATGACAAGCGCTTTTTGGAGATACTCTTTAGCCTTGTCGTATTGGCCAAGCGACGTAAACACAGTACCAAGGTTTCCGTAGTCAGTTGCCTCCCCTTCTCTGTCGCCAATTTCAGTTCTGATGACAAGCGCTTTTTGGAGATACTCTTCAGCCTTGTCGTATTGGCCAAGCGACGTAAACACAGTACCTAGGTTTCCATAACATGATGCTTTCCCTCCTCTGTCGCCAATTTCAGTTCTGATGACAAGAGCTTTTTGGAGATACTCTTCAGCCTTGTCGTATTGGCCAAGCGACGTAAACACAGTACCTAGGTTTCCATAACATGATGCTTCCCCTCCTCTGTCGCCAATTTCAGTTCTGATGACAAGCGCTTTTTGGAGATACTCTTCAGCCTTGTCGTATTGTCCAAGCGACGTAAACACAGTACCTAGGTTTCCATAACATGATGCTTCCCCTCCTCTGTCGCCAATTTCAGTTGTGATGACAAGCGCTTTTTGGAGATACTCTTTAGCCTTGTCGTATTGGCCAAGCGACTTAAACACAGTACCTAGGTTTCCGTAGTCAGTTGCCTCCCCTTCTCTGTCGTCAATTTCAGTTCTGATGACAAGCGCTTTTTGGAGATACTCTTCAGCCTTGTTGTACTGGCCAAGCGACTTAAACACAGTACCAAGGTTTCCGTAGTCAGTTGCCTCCCCTTCTCTGTCGCCAATTTCAGTTGTGATGACAAGCGCTTTTTGGAGATACTCTTCAGCCTTGTCGTATTGGCCAAGCGACGTAAACACAGTACCAAGGTTTCCGTAGTCAGTTGCCTCCCCTTCTCTGTCACCAATTTCAGTTGTGATGACAAGCGCTTTTTGGAGATACTCTTCAGCCTTGTCGTATTGGCCAAGCGACGTAAACACAGTACCAAGGTTTCCGTAGTCAGTTGCCTCCCCTTGTCTGTCGCCAATTTCAGTTCTGATGACAAGCGCTTTTTGGAGATACTCTTCAGCCTTGTCGTATTGGCCAAGCGACGTAAACACAGTACCAAGGTTTCCGTAGTCAGTTGCCTCCCCTTCTCTGTCGCCAATTTCAGTTGTGATGACAAGTGCTTTTTGGAGATACTCTTCAGCCTTGTCGTATTGGCCAAGTGACGTAAACACAGTACCTAGGTTTCCATAACATGATGCTTCCCCTCCTCTGTCGCCAATTTTGGTTGTTATGGCAAGGGCCCTCTCAAAATATTCCTTTGCTTTTAGGGTTTCGCCAAGTTTATAAAGCATAATTCCATACCCTCTGTATAAGTCAAACAGTTTCCTTCCGTATCTTTCCGCACTTATGTAGTCAGAGATATGACGATAAGCGCTGAAAAGAATGGTATAGATGTCGCTGTAAAATTGTGGCAGTGCTGAATCAAATTGGTCTTTGTTGTTTTGATCGGTGCCATTTAGAATAATCAAACACTCGCTGCATATCTCAATGGCTTTCTGAATGCGATCTGAGTTGAGCAAGAACAGGGCAACAAATAAGGCGAGGCTCATGAAAGGTGTCATGGCTTCTGCTGTTAGGTTTCCATTGCAATCCTCACCTGTTATCAGGGAAACATTATTTTTAGTAACACAATACTAAATGGTCGATAATCTTGATTAATAACAAGTCACTTCAAACAGGAACACACATGTTAAGTTACAAAAACGGGCTGGGTCGATTACACCCGGAAACTATTTGTAACAAGCTGAAAGTGTTAGAATTCACAATATCCACTTAAAAACAAAAAAAAAAACAAGAAAGTGAAGAAGTCGGTTGGTCACCTTTCATTTTCCTCAAGTTGGGATTTTTGCAGAACATTACATGACTGTAAAGTCATTGGACAAAGATAAAAAAAACTGACAGACTTTATCTTAACTTTTGCAATGAGAACTTTCCACATGCATAGTTTCTATAAACAACGGGGTAAGTTTTTGAAGAGACTTTGGTGGGGTATTAAAAAACTATTTGGCTTTACCAACTGAGTTGACAATGTAAATTGTCCATGATAATGAATTTCAGCCGTCGTTTACTTCCGTTTGAAAAATGTCATTAACCAAGTTCACTGTGCATTTGTCATGGAAGAAGCAAGTCCCATACATGAAATTTCAATTCCAATATTGGAACTGACAGTCAGTGTAAGGCTCTCCAGAATTATTGGAGAAGAATTGGAAATGACAGCAGACCAAGTTTACTACTGAACTGACTCAGCTTCCGTGTTGAAGTACATGAACTTTGTTAACTCGCAGGTAAGCGAACCGTAGAAACTAGACTTAACTCACTGGGTCACTGTCGTAAATAGTAGCGGAGCTCGCAGAGCGTAGCCCCAAAATTATGCAAAATAGTAGTAGCCCATCAAGCCGATAAAATTTGGATGTACGACCGTTCGACCGTACGACCGTACAAGGTGCTTCTTTTAACATGCGTGGTCAACTGTACGAGCTCCGCTTTTAGGCTTGGCTAAATCTATATATTATACTTTGACCTAGGTTTTTTGGTTCCTTCATCTCGTCACGTGATGTAAAAGAAACATTTTGCCCTTAGGTTGAATCATATTCCTACCGATTTCTGTCTTTCATCTTTTTGTGAGTGAACGTTAAAAGCCAAAAATCTATTATGTACATCCTCGATGTTGGAGCAGTCTGAAGATTAGTGAAAAGTCTTACAAACTTCAAAGAGAACTTAAAGATTATCCGCAAATGGGCTTAAAGGAATGACAATGGAATTAATTTCAGTTTTAAAACAGTTACAATTGGAATATAATAAATCAATGTTAAGAAAGCTCATACAGGTTGTAAACAAATAGATACCAAATGATAATCGACTTAATAACTCAACTTTCTTAAGGCAGATAATTAGGAAACCGGAAACAGAAAGAAATGGGAAAAGAGAGTCCCTTCTTAATTGATAATGAAGCTCATTGATTCAATCAATGAAGAAGATTGAAGAATAAGAGGCTTGGTTATATCATGTATTGTGAGGTAAGGAAGCTACCTTTTCTCAAAGGAAACAAATTGCTGCCATGTGTCATAGCCTGACTCGCTGATTTATTTTTGAGGCATTATTCGCTTTGATTGAAAACAAACAAAACAGACAAGAAAAAAAATGCAAATTCAGCTAATGAAAAATCCATGGACATCAAAAGAAATCAGAAAGAAATAGTCTACAATATAAGTTCTAGTTTCCCCATTCTTAGTTTATTGATTTTTTTATACCGGCTGTCAAAATGTATTTGCAATGCAGGCCCTTCGGATCACTGTATTTTTTTTCTTATTCATGAATAATACAAGATTGATTACTGAGAAAATTGCTCTGGTTTTCTTGAGAACTATTCGACAGTTTAAATAATGTACCGTCCAAAATGTTTGTACTGGAAATTCCCTCGCTCGATTTTATTGAAACACCGTTCTTTTGGTTCATTACCGAGATGATCACAGATGTAAGTTATTGACATTCGGCGATATGGCAACATTTGCAAAGATTGTTTATTTTAAAAGCAATGAGCGCATTATCAGACGAATGTCCCTGAAAACGAATATTTTCTAATTAGATGAGGATCATTAATAAGATGCGAGACCACAAAGGTTTGATATGATCGCCTTATAACAAATTCATTTTACTTCGGTGGCGAATTTTACACAACGTTACAGTACTTTAAAGTGACAGGACAAATATTAACCGGGAAAACAGGACCTTTTTATTTCAGGCTTTTCCATTAATTAAAACGTTACTCATGCAAAATTACTCTAAATAACAATATTCTAGTGCTATTTACTTGATACATGACAAAATTCTGTATATCTTTTTACTTGCACTTACCAAGTTGTCGACTTCGTGGTTGATCCTTTTGAAAGTGAAACGACAGAAAAGAATTTAATGAAAGACAGTTAGGACTTTTCCTTATATTCCAAAATCTCCGCCTCTTGACTTAACTTAACCGCGACCATTTTGTCTCAGACCAACAAGAAAGATACACCTTAGTACTACAGCGTTCTGGAAACTTTCCTGACATTCTGCAATATGGCAACATTTGAAAAGATTGTTCTAGCGGTTTATTACCAAGTAATGAGTTTACTTATCATACCAATGTCCCTGAGAGCGAACCTTTTTATAGTTGATGAGGATCATTGGTAAGATGTGAAGCCATAAAACTTTAACGAAGTCGCTTTGAAACAAATAAATTTCATTTTGGCTGCGATTTTTGCATAACATTACATTTGACTTAATAGGCATAGGACAAATATTAACCAAACAGCATTTATTTTAGGCTTTGCCATTAAAACGTTACTCATGCAGAGTTACTCAAAATAACAATAGACTATATTACTTAATCATTTGTAGAAGATAGAAAGCTGTATACCCCTGTATTAAACACTTTTACTCGTACTTAGCAAGTTGTTGACTTCGTATCGGATGCTTTTAAAAGTAAAAAGACAAAAACAGTGAAACACAGTCGGGACTTTCCCTACATTCCAAAACTTTCGCATTCGAGTGACAATTACTGTGATTGTTTTGTTATTCAGATGAGTGCACAAACGTTCATAACTTGCTAAAGGTATATTTTTTGATGTTAAAACCATTCTTTATGATTCTTTCTTTTTCAACACCTGAAATCGTTTATTTGTAAACCTTCAGCTGACAATTTGATATAAATCTAATTCACAAAAGTTTTTCCTGTTGACCGGCATTTTCACTTTGATTTAAACTTATGTTCTTAACTCGCAGCTAAGCGAAGCATAGTAACATGTTTATGCGTAGACTTCAACATGTAAATGTGCCACCCGCCTACTCACTTACTGACTCACTCAAGTGTAGACATTGTTGAGAATAAGAAACTTTAATCTCGTTTTTATGATCCAAACAGAACTTTTGGTTTTACTAATCACGTGGGGAAACTCGAAAAATGTTTCCCATCAATCTCACTTAAGTTTCACTTTTCTTAGTTTTTCTGCCGTCAAAACGTATATGTAATGAAACCACTTGGGATGAAGCATCCTAATTTCTTTTTCATGAATAATGTAAGACATTTAACCGCTGAGGTATTTTTTAGCTTTTCTTGAGAACTATACAACAATTTCTATTATGTGGTACAAGCCGGACACAGACTGGACCTCTCCGTTTTTTCGAACAAGAATTTCCTTTGCACGATTTTATTGAAAAAATATTATTTACTGTGTTATGAACGAGCGACAGAGAGATGATCGCAGATGTAAATCAGTGATGACCATATATTGAATACTGACTGAAAGTAGTATTCAATGAGTTTTAATTGCTAACAGTCTTAGCCCAACAAGAAAGATACATCTCAGTACTACAGCGTTCTGGAAACTTTCCTGACATTCTGCAATATGGCAACATTTGAAAAGATTGTTCTAGCGGTTTGTTACCAAGTAATGAGTTTACTTATCACACTAATGTCCCTGAGAACGAACCTTTTTATGGTTGATGAGGATGATTGGTAAGATGTGAAGCCATAAAGCTTCAACGAAGTCGCTTTGAAACAAATAAATTTCACTTTGACTGCGACTTTTGCATAACATTACATGACTTGATAGGCACAGGACAAATATTAACAAAACAGCATTCATTTCAGGCTTTGCCAGTAAAACGTTATTAATGCAGAGTTACTCAAAATAACAATCGACTATCAGTAATTCATTTGTAGAAGATAGAAAGCTGTGTACCCCTGTATTAAACACCTCTACTCGTACTTAGCAAGTTGTTGACTTCGTAGTGGATGTTTTTGAAAGTAAAAAGACAAAAACAATGAAATACAGTACGGACTTTCCCTACATTCCAAAACATCCGCAGTCGAGCAACAATTACCGTTACCGTTTTGTTATTCAGATGAGAGCGCAAACGTTCATAACACGCCAGAGGTATATTTTTAGATGTTTAAACCATTCTTTACGATTCTTTCTTTTTAAATACCTGAAATCGTTTGTTTGTAAACCTACAGCTGACAATTCACAAAAGTTTTTCCTGATGGCCGGCATGTTAACTTTGATTTTAAACTTATGTTCTTAACTCGCAGTTAGGCGAAGCACAGTAACATGTTTCTGGGTAGACTCCAACGTGTAAATGTGCCACCCGCCTACTCACTCACTGACTCACTCAAGTGTAGACATTGTTGGGAATAAGAAACTTTGATCTCGTTTTTTTTATGATCCAAACAGAACTTTTGGTTTCACTAATCACGTGAGATTTTTCCCCTAAGTCCCTTATTTCTCCATCGGCAACTTGTTAATATTTTCAGCGATTGCGGTGTGCTTTTGTTGCGTAGCTTGGCATTTGGCAAAGATAATGTTATTGGAAAAGAAAGCTCCTCGTGACTTTGTATTCCACTTTCATAACAAAAGAAACCCAAACAAAACAATGTAAATTCAGCCACATGCAAATCAATGATTTTTCATCGCGAGTATTCAAAGAAGCAAGCAAGGAATATTATCAGTATAATATCTAGTTTCCCTTTTCTTAGTTTTTCGTTTTTTTCTTTTATTTCGACCTTCAAAACGTTTATGTAATG